GCTGGTCAGGGGTGGGGCCAGAGTGTGTTTTTATGCTGCAGCAATGGTTTGCCTGGAGCCCTGACACCTCAACATTGTATTTGCTGCCAGTATTTTTACAAAGTTATTATAAGGTTTATGACATATTGTCTGTGATGTTTCTGGTTATGGCTAGAATATTTATTAGTTTTTGCATAATATGCTTGTTTTTGAAACTGTCTGCAAATATCGTTCTGCCTTGTTCATTGGGTTTTTTGAGGTGGTATGATTCAGTTAGTGGGCAGTCATGTAGGTAGTGACTTGGGGTACCTGTGTCATCGCATGGGCATGTGTCTGTGTTTATTCGCTGCATCCTGTGTAAGAATGAGGGGAAGAAGCCATGTCCTGTAAGGAATTGTATTGCTGCTGGATGGCCTATGAGTCGGTCTGTGTCTACTTTAGGATAATATGATTTTGTTGTATAGCCTTTTTCATTTTCGTCCCAGTATGCTTGCCAAAGTTTTTGTGTGATGTTTTTAAGTTTATTTCTCAGGCTCGATGGTGGAAGCAGAACACCGCTGGGAATCCCGTGACCTGCTGCTGCGTCTTTAGCCGCTAAATCCGCTGCTTCATTGCCTATGTTACCTGTGTGCGCTGCCACCCAGTGTATTTGTGTGTTGCATTTTCTGACTAGGTGTTCTAGTTGTCTTTGTGTTGTTGCCACGTGTGGGTCTTTTTGTTTCGTTTTTCTAATAGCGTGTATACTAGCCAGACTGTCTGTGAAAATTGTTGCATCTTTGCAGCTGTGTGTCTCTAACCAATTGATGGCTTCTTTGATGGCTAAAACCTCTGCTTGAAACACTGTGTTTTCTTGTTTTAACGTAAATTTGTATGTATCTGTATGTTGGTTGTTGTGGTAAACACAGAATGCAGCTCCCACGCCATTGTCTGTTTTGGAGCCATCGGTGTAGATTTGTACCGTCGTTGTTTTGCTAGTACTAGTACTTGTTGGTAGGTTAGTGTATTTATGGCTAGTCTTATGGGCCGGGTGGACCATATGTGTTTTTATCTTTTGTTGATAATCACCCGCTTTTATATTGTATTGTGTGTTTTCTTGATTGAATCTTAGTGTGTTAGCTAGTAGTGCTTCTTTTTGGATTTGCAGGTGCAATGGCGGTAAACCTGCCAGAACATTCAGACCTGGTGTGGGTGCTGTTTTGAATGATCTTGTTATTCTGACTAGTAGGGGCCGCTGCACCTTGTGCAGTTCTTTGATCGCGGTTTTATTTAGTTCCGTACCCCAAGCTGCTGCAGCGTACGTAAAGGCCTTTTCTGCTACAGTCTTGTACCAATGCTTGAGCATTTTAGTATTAATGCCCCAGGTCCTTGGGGCTAGTTTTATGAGATTGTTGTGTAGTGTTGTGGCTCTTGTTCTTAGTGATTTAATGTGTTCTAGGTAGTTTAGATGATGATCCAATACTATACCTAGGTATTTGATGTGATTTACCGGTTTTATTGCGTTACCGTCTATTTTGATTATTGGTTGTCTCTGCTTGAAAGGATTATTAAAAGTGATGTAGTTGCACTTGTTAATTGACAGCTTTAGGCTTTGTGCCTTACAAAAGTTGCTGAATTGTGTCATTGCCTCATTAGCATTTGATTCTAGGTGTTTCCTTGTTTTGCCTGAGACAATGAAGCTGTAGTCATCTACAAAAGCTTGTGTTTTAACATGGTCGTGCTTGAACTGTTGTAAAAAGATATCCGCAATGATAAGACATAGTAGGGGTCCTAGGCAGGAGCCCTGTGGACAACCCGTATAGATATCGATTTTAGTTATATCGGTTCGACCGTTGAACTCAACTGACCTGTGTGAGAGGTAGCTGTTGATTATGTTCCGCTATGTATTAAATTTTTCTTTCCCAATAAATCTAAAATGCAAGTGTCAGCTTTTACTTATGGTTGACAAAAGTCTTCACTTAGATTAATTATCTGCCATGGTATAATCTATATACTTTGTCTTATTATATCCAAAACAGGTTTTTCTTATTATTTTGAAATGCATTGTTTTATTTTTATATTGTTTATTGTCCACATCAATTGATATTAGAAAAATTATTATGACTCACAATCTGTTGCCTTATTTTGACATGCTGGCCCTTTTTTTTTTCCATCTGATGTGTTTAACTCATTTTTCACCAGCCAGCACGCATAGCAGTCATTTCTCTTCAAATTAATGTATATTATTTCATTAAAAACATTCATTTCTATCTCAAATCTGTGGTCTTCACGAACTTTTGTAAGAATTGAAAAATTTAAACAAATATTTTAGAATTCTAAATTAATTCATGTCATGCTGAGTGATTTACATACCTGCCAACTTTCAATCTCTCCCAATATGATTTTCCCCAGTGGTATTAAAATGGGAATGAAATTTCAATTTTTAGCAAACAAATTTGTTGTATTTGAAAAAGCTTAAGCTGACAACTATGACAGTAACGTATATTACTATACATACTTAGTTTTTTTAGGAATAGCGGTGATCATAATCATTTGAAAATTAAGTTTATAAAAGAGGAAATAGTATATATTTACTACCACTTTAAATATAAAAATAAAATTTTACGCCAAATGCGTACAAGTTGGCAGGTATAGATTTAATTATTTTGATCAGACATTAGTTTGACCCAGCATTTTAAACAAATTTTCAAACTGATATTGCAAGTTCTACTTCTTGTTTTCTAAAATTTTAAAATTTAGGATAATCTTTTACCTAAGGCAATTTTTTAAACACACTCAGGAACCAATCAGATGCCTGAATTTCCATTATGAACGAGGAACCTGTCATGAAATAATTTAGGTTCAATGGGATACTGTTTATTTTACAGTGTTGTTTATGTGATATTAGTTTTAATTTTTGTCTTTGAATGTATTCTTTAAAAGAATTTGAAGATTCTAAATAGTTGTAAGAGAGGGCGGTGTATTATTTCTGTGTTATCTTAACATAAGATTTTGTAATTTTTTTAATAATCACTTTCATGTAGTTTAACATGAATTTTAAGGGTGATTGCAAATAACAAAATTGGTGGTTGTCTTTATCAATGTTTTTGCCCCACCCATGAACCCGAAAATACCTAAACCTAAATGGATTTTTTATAAACATAATCAAAATCTGCACTCTATTGTTATTTTTAATTTGATTTAAAAATATTAATACATAAATATACATAACCCTACTTTCAAAACTTGTGTGTATTTAGATAAATGTATGTAACTTTGAACTAATATAATGCTTTTTATTGCTTCAAAATCACTTTTTTTAGTTAACATTAAGAAAGCTCAAATTATTATTTGTTTTGAACTAAACAGGTGCAGACAGGAATAATTCTTTTTTATCTCCTTGATAAATAGGTTTTCAAGTGGGAATAAAATAAACATATATAAGTATTATATAACAGAATATTAAAATTGTTTTGTTGGTAGTTATGTTTTAATGCGACAAAATAGTGATTTAAATGTAAAAATTCATTAAATTTCTAACCATGATATAATGCTGAATAATATGAAAAAATTTTAACTTATTTTACATTATGTATTTTATTTATTAAAAGTTTCCATGATTATTTTGTTCACATTGTGAATTATTAAATTTCTCAGTTGAATTAAATTCACAAAACTGTTTTTTAATTACCATGGTTTAAAAAGGAATTCAAAAAGCTAAAGAAAATTGTTAAATAAACAGTAGTTAGTTGGCCTATTAAATACTTACTTTATTTTAACAGAAAAAATTAAACTATGACTTAAAAGTATTTAAAAACAGACAAATAAATAATTTTCCTATCAACGTTTTTATTTTTTAATAAAATTTTTCTCTTTTGAATTAAAATTTAAACCTAAAACCTTACCAAGGTAAACCTAGGTAATATCTTATAAAACCTACCCGCGTTGGATTTTTTTTAAAACCCTGGTTTTTACCATCAAGTAGGAGGTGTATACTTCCAAATTTAGTACATGTACTTACTGTTGATGAAGAACTAGCACAGCAGACCATTAGATACAATATGAATTCCTCTAATGAGCTTTTTATGTTGTATATTGCAACCTGTTTTTTTATTAAACAATTGCATTTTTCTCTTTTTTCTAATTTGTACATTAAGATCATCTTAAACAGTTCAAGCTAATCACTTCAGGAAGGTTTAATCCACTCTTATCCGATGTCAGGATAAAAATTACAACCCTGCACATGAGTTTTTATTTATTTTTATCCATATTTGTTTATTTTATAAGAGTAGGGACAAGGAATGATTGATTTAAATCGGGTGGTTTCAAGAGTTTGCAACTACACACCATCTTTGAGTTAAGGAAATAGTATCTTTCCTGCTCCTTATGCAAGTATTTTAATAACTTATTTATATAACAAAACATCTGATCAAAATCATGTTTCTCCTATACTGCATTTTTTTATTAATATAGGCATTTTCATTGTAGATTTTGACTTTAACACTATTATTGTAAATTTTAAGTGCATAATCTGGATTGTATGTTAATATAATACAGTGAATTAATAATTATTGATGGTTAGAAGGACTTATTATTTGTTGAGGAAACTCAAGTTACTAAACAATTGCATTGTAGACTTGACAGAACCAAATCAACGATAGGAAAAATTATGCAGTTGTGGAAAATACACAGGAATTGTGCAATCATATCTGACTCATGTTTTTTAACATTGTCTACAGTTTATAGAATTTACTTGATTAACAATTTTTTTAAAAAAAAAATGATACTTTTCTATTCTTGCTGGAATTTTCACTAACATTAAGGTAGACATTATTGATTCCCCCCCGCCCCCGTCATTTGTAGAAATTTTATTTTGTTTTCATTAACGCTACTCATTTCCAACGAAACTTGAACCTTTTATATTCAATCATTTTATCTCCCAATTTTTAATAATCTCCTAATTTTTGGGGAGTCCAATTAGAGAACCCAAGCCTCCCGAACGATAGTCGGATTACCGCGACTTCCGCTATAAAGTGGAAAGGAGTCTAAGCGTTTCGTTTCCGACCGCCGATATTTGATTTCTTTTGTTTGGCTGATTTTCGGAATTTTAAATATTAGGAACTGCACCGGAATCTGCTAAAATCGCGATTTTTAATCAAACGATTTTAATATCAATCATCGATTTTCGTATTTAATTGATTTAAAAGTTACGTGTTGCGATTTAAAAGCCGTACTAGCAATTACTATTCACTCAATTTAAAAATCCAATATCGCGATTTGTATTTAAGCGTTTTTAAAAATCCAATATCGCGATTTGTATTTAAGCGTTTTTAAAAATCCAATATCGCGATTCGTATTTAAGCGTTTTTAAAAATCCAATATCGCGATTCGTATTGAAGCGTTTTTAAAACTCAATATCGCGATTTGTATTTAAGTGTTTTTAAAACCCAATATCGCGATTCGTATTCACGCATTTTTAAATCCAATATTGCGATTCGTTGTCACGCAGTTGTAATATTAGATATCGTTTTTCTTATTTGTACGCTATTTAAAAATTACTCATTGCGATTCGTATTCACGTGATCTAAAAATTATGCGTCACGATTTTTAATTACGCGATTTAAAAATTCAATATCGCAAATTGTATTTTTGTGTTTTTAAAATCCAACAGCGCGATTCATATTCATGCGATTTTAAAATCCCAAATCGCGATTCATATTCACGCTATTTTAAAATCCAAAATCGCGATTCATATTCACGTGATTTTAAAATCAAAATCGCGATTCATATTCACGCGATTTTAAAATCCAATATCGCGATTCTTAAAAGAAGTAGAAGTAAGTTTTCTCTTGAATTAGTTACTGTAAAGATGTGGTATATTTTTCATTAGTAAGTAATTTAATAGTCGTTCCTTCCTATAATTGCTTAATTTTTTTTAATATAGTAGTGGTCACAATTTTAAAATTATATTTAAGAAAAATTTAAAGTTAAATGTCTAAATGCTTCTGCCCCTTTAAATATTAAGTAAAAATCTCCCAGCATAGTTAAAAGTTGCTTTTATAAATATCAGTATCATATAGAGCACTCCCCCCCCCACTCCCCTCTCAGTGGCCTGCATTGTAAAAGTTCAGCTTTTTTTTATTTTTGTCCACGTTCATGCCTGTTCAATAGAAAATGTAATGCATCTGATTGTAACGAATAGAAAATCAAGTCAAGATTCTGTAAAAAAAAATAAAAAAAACTAAGTGTAAACAGATGTTAATATGGTCATTTTGAAGCATTTGATCAAAGACAACAGAAATGTGTTTCAAACAAATTAAAAGGTTTTTGTCATTTGTTTTAATTCTGAAATTTTTGTTACTTTAT